GATGAGAAAGAGTATTGCCTCGTCTTTCTTGCAAAGTTTTCCTGTCTCCCTGTTTTCAGGGAGAGGAATCTTCCTGAAAAATGTGGTTGCTTTGTGTTGTCTAGAAAAAGAAAACCAGTAATTAAGAATTTTAAGCCTGTAGTAATATGCCTGATGATTTAAAAATGCATACAAACGACATCTTCTTTATGACCCTCTCCATGATGAGAGGCAGAAGTGAAGGGGAGGGGAGGGTAGAAGACATGTTTCAGGATGGCAGGTGGAAAAAGTACAATATGTCCAACAATCCAAATGAGTTCACACTAGATGTAAGCTGCAAAATAGGCTTTGAAATCTCAAAACTGAGAGGAGTGGAGGGAAGGCTTGGGTTTAACATGAACTTTGAAAGGGAAGGGGGGCGACAAGGGATAAGAGATAGAGGAGGCAGGACATCACAGAGGTAGTCAGGGTTCAGGTAAAATAGAGTGGCCTCTGGAGAGATCCTGTCTGCATCCTGATTGCCAAAGAACCTGACTCAAATTCTAGGAGCTCCATTGGCCTCCCTTGAGTACTAGAGAAGATGATGGCCCCTCTTTGATGGGCTCCTCCCTGCTGCTGAAGCTTCTAGAAAAGGCAAACAAACTCTGATTTGGGTTGTCCTAGACAGGAGGAAAGAAGGCAGCTCCCTTTCTCAAACACCACAGATTAGAGACCAGGGTCCTGACTAGACTTTGTTTACTCACGGGTGGGATAATTCATGCCAGAGTCTTCAGCCTCTGGTGGTATGATTTGAGAGGAGGAGGGAAGGACCCTGCTCAGCTTCAGTGAAGTCCTAACCTCCAGCCTAACTTATGGCAGTGTTGTATGGGAGGGAATGTCAGGCTTCTCTGCTTACAATGAAAGGGCACTTCGGTTCCACCCTCCACTCAGCCAGTTCTCACCGACTCAGACAGGTTCATGCAGGGCAGATTCAGACTGTCCTGGGACCTGTTCCGATGCCAGGTGTCAGCATTCCAAATCCCATCCAGTCCTGTACTTCCTAATGTCCCCCCACATCTTCGCACAGCCCTCCTTCGTGTGTACATGGCAAGGACAGGTCCTGAATCCAGAAGAGCCACTTCCAGACTTGGCTCTGCCCCAGGTGCTTCTCTGTGCCTCAGTTTCCTTGTATGTTCACTGGAGCCATTAAATTTGCCCAGCCAGCTTCTGGGCTTCTCAGAGATGAGGCCCAGGATGAGGAGGCCCCCCTACCCCCATTTCCTTACCTGTATATTCTAAGGACAGTGTTTGTCTCACATTGATGGGAAGGTGAATTGAAAGAAGAGGGAAGACAAAAGGTTGACAGAAAAAACAACAACATATGAAAAGCCAAATGAAGTAGTTCTTGGATGTAGATGGGTTGTAGTTTATACAGAATTTCCTAAAGTATATTCCTTGGAACATTCTTGCCATATGATCTATCTGTGAGGAGTTCCCTGCTCAAGTAAGTTGGAAAACTCTTCTTTTCATGGTGATTTCTCAGGCACTTGAAGATAAAGTACTTAGAGGATAACCGAAGCAAAACAACAATAACAACAACAACAAAAACTTGAAGTATCTTAAATCCAACATTTATCAATCTAATCTCCAGGGAGGCCCAATCCCACCCTACAAGCCCTCACTTTGATTCAGGAACTGAAGATAATGGTTTGACTTGGTTCCTGTCCTTATTCTCGTAAACACCAGGACTGGTGAGAAAGTAGGATGCTAGCAGGAGGGAGCAGGAAAAAGACAAAAAGGAGAAAGTGTCAGGCATTTCTCTAGTTGGACCCCTTTCCTTCCATCAAGCCAGACCAATTTGGAAAATGCATCTGGAGGTATCTGGAACTCTCCTTGGCATAATTTAGAGAGATGGTTTTGTTCTGAACAGCACTGACTTCCTATAATGGTATTACCTCCTCAAGGAATTAGTTAATGGAGGGAACAGTGTACTCAGCAAAACATATCCATGCAAATCTGTCAACTGAAAATAGTACCAATAGGCAGGCTGTGACCTAAGGAGCATGGTTCAAATCCAGGATTAAGAATGAATACCCATTCACTGAGCAAAGAGAAACCTACTGTTGGAAGTTTATGAAAGGCAGGGTGGGAAGAGTTAGGTTGACTGCTTAGGAGGCTTGAAGAGGGAGAACCAGTTGTGTGAACAAATGTACCCTTTTCTGCCCCAGGAAATTAAAGCTTAGGGGACAAAGTAATATGCTCAGGCCCATCAGCAAGTTGGTGGGAGAGCTGGGACCAGGTCTTCTTTATGCCTCTGGCGCCTGGTACAGTGAGAAGGAGAGAAGTCACTATGCAAATCCAAATCAAGAAGGAGGGAAGGAAGGAAAGAAGAAAGGAAGGAAGAGGAGAGAGGAAAGATGGAAGAAAGGAGAAAAGGAAGGAAGAAAAGGAAGAGAGATCTAAGAAGGGAAGGAGTCCAATAGGCACAGTCTGATGGAATTGTGGCAATGGAAATCAATTGTCTAGCCTCAAGAGACATATAAGGAATTGTTTATGTACCTCTTTTCCTCTGACAACAGCAGGGTCTCCACATCTCCATGGCTCTTTCAAAGCAGCTATTTTTAAAGGATTGTCCCCAGCTCTCAGCTGGCTGGCCCAAGTTAAGTACTGATTCAAGATATGCCAAAAGTTCTTGTACTAGGAATTTGGAACTTGGAACTCACAACACTTGGAGACTGTTGTGGTCATGTTTCCATCATTGGGTACAAAACTGGGAGGTGGGGGGGGGAGAAGGGAAGAAGAAGAAGGAGGAGGAGGAGGAAGTAGAGGAAGAAGAGGAAAAGGAGGAGGAGGAAGGGAGGGAGGGAGAGACGGAGACATAGAAAGACAGAAAGAGAGAGATATGGGACAAGAGATGGGAAAACTGTCCCAATAGGGGTTTCAAGTCTTTGGTGATAGTTTTCCTGTGGTTTCAAGAGCCCATAAATGTCTCGTTTGGCAAGGTGTGTTTAGTGTGAGTTTCCTCACAGGTACATGTGAGGACTTCCCATGAGCATCCAGGGGTTGGATTCCTGGCGGGCTGGGACAAACAAATTCTGGATAATCCGACAATTTAAACAGGAAGCTGACTGCTGTAAATATACGCCCTTGTTTTTTTTGGGGGGGCGCGTACCAGGGATCGAACTCATGCCCTTGCACTTGTATAGCAGGCGGCGAAACCACTGAGCTAAATCCCTGGCCAGACTGCTGTAAATATAGAGATGTGTTGAGAGTCAGTCACCTGGGCCTGGGTTGTGGGATCCAAACATATGCCTGGTGAGAATCCAGCATCCTTTGCAATGGTGGTCTTCTGATAGGGAAAGAGATCACAGGGGCCTTGGAGTGAGGGAGCAGAAGAATCTGAGCAGTGAAAGGAAAGTAAGTCCTTAAGATTCATAAGTTCCAGTACAAATGGAGGCCCACTATTTAAAGTTAAATGTCAAGTTAGAAAACTGTTCAATAAATATTTTACAGATGCAGAATGTTCTATCCTCCTACCCCGGACACACCATGAGGCCCCAGAAGGCCAGGCCAGTTTGGATAAATTCTTGGAGTCCTCATAGCTCCCTGGAAAATGTGGCAATTCAAGGAGAGTCAGCCCTGGCACACAGCCCCCAAATTGTTCTTTATTCCCACCCCTAGCTTTTTTCTGCACCATGGAGACCTAAATATGCACATGCATGGACACTTCCACCCCAGCCAGTGTCACAGTGCACTCCAGCAAACACCTGCCCTCAGTCACGTCTCAGGGCCTGGATCTGGGAGGAGCCTGAATGGGATCTGGACATGGACTTTGAGCCATCTGGACGTAGGATTGCCAAGTTCCAGATCCTGAACTGTGCTCTAGAAGATCTTACCATGGGTAGATACTCCCCTGAGCCCTGTGAGGACAGCATGGCCAGGGGAGGGGCCCTCTTGCCCAGGTCTAAGGGGGTTACTGGTCATGGGCTGACCTGAGTGGGAAGTGGGTACTGAGAAGTCCTAGACTGGGGAAAGGGCCAGGAGACATCTAGCTTTGCAGTCTTGAACATTTGCACCTCAAGTTTTCCACTTGCAAAAATGACAGCTTTGAGTTAGAGGTAGCAATTTATAGCCCAGTGCCAGGGTTAAAGTTTTGAATTTTGATTTTTTTTTAATGTGTGTAACTTTGGGCAAAATAATCTCTCTGAGAATCAGTGTTCCTGTCTGTAAAATAGGATGTGTTTCTTCCAGGTTGCTGAGAGGGTTCAATGATGTTGGTGGAGTTGAGTGTAGAAAGGGCTCAGTCACTGCAGCTGTGCTATTTTTCCTTTTGAACGACTGTTGCCTCTGAGGCCACTCACTTACAGTCTTAAAATTACTACGGTAGCATGATCTATGGAAAGGAGAAGGCTATTGGCCTCTAACTTTACTCCCAGAGCAGAGATTCAGGAATTCAGGGCAGTTAAGAACACAAGCTCTGGATTCTCCTGTCATTTAATTATTAACTATCATCAAGTCACTTAACATCTTGAAGCCTCAGATTCCCTGTTGGAAAGATGGGATGATAACAGTATCTATTCATAGGGTTGTTATTGGAAATAAATGAGAGCATATATCTAAGCTCTCACGCGAGGCCTACCTGGCCCAAACTCAACTTGCAAAATCATCAGCTATTTTTACCAACAGCCTTACTGTTCTCTCCCACTGCCCTCGGCCCACTTTGAGGCAGATGTTCTCATCGATATTTTGGGCTGTGCAGAGGTGCTTGGGGAGCCAGTAGCTGCTTCCATCTGCTCTGCACTTCCTCCACTCAATGAAATAATGGTTCCTGAGAAAGGAAAACCTCAAATCTGATTTGTTCTCTTAAATTCAAGCTCTAATTGCTTTGAGTAGAAGCCCATGTCAGTTGAAATCATTTCTTGTTTTTTCTTCTGGGGCAAAGGTTAATCTCAGTCAGATCTTTCAATTACGTAGAGAATTTGCCAACCAAAGGAATAAGCAACTGGGACCCTTAGCACTCAGACAAGGGAATTGCCATCGGATCAGGAATCCTGAGTAACTCCACTTTCTTCTCCTTCTTGCACAAGGAAATTTAAGTTCAGCAAGTCAGAGCCAATAATGGACAGATCTGGCTTCTCCCCAAGGGCGGACACGCTGTCAACTTCATGGCACCAGAGGGTCTGGTAGATGCTGGGCCATCCAGGGTCAGATGCTTTCCAGCAAGGCTTGTTCTGTGCTAGCAGCAGCCTGGTGGGAAAGAACCAAGTAAGTGCACAGACTCTTTGAGCACTCTTGGGGCTCATTGCTGGCCCTGCTTAAACTGAAGCCCCTGCATGGAATATCACAGTGTGTTTTCTTTTTTTAAAATTTTTTTAAATTTTAAATTTTTAAAATTAAGTTTATTTATTGGTACATTTTATGATCACAGCGTGTTTTCCATTCCAAAAGCATACACTCTCCTTGCTGATCCCACTGGGTCCTCTGTTACCAGCTCTTTCCTTCCTCCTACTCATTTCTAAATACCTTGGAAAGTCATCTATTTCCACCCTGAAAATTCTTTCCCTTAATAGTTCTGTTCTTGCTGCTACCACTTCCCCCTTCCCCCCAACTAATTCCAACCCCATTGAACTACTCAAAGTTCCCAGAACCCCCATCCTCCCAGCCTAGGAGCTGTGCTTCTTCACGCTCTTCTGCCCATGCACAGTTCAGTAGCATTAATTACATTCATATTGTTGTGCAACCATTACCACTTCCATCTCTTGAATTCATTCATCTCACAAAGCTGACCTTGTAACCCACTAAACAACAATCCCCTGTTCCCCTCTCTCCAGCCCCTACTTTGTCTCTATGAATCTGACTATGCCGAGTACAATAGAATCATGCAGTATTTGTCTTTTTGTGACCAGCTTGCTTCATTTACATAACATTCTTGGGGTTTATCCACATGGTAGTGGCTCTTCTTTCTCTTTAGCTCCCTTTCAAATGGCTACATCTGAGAAGCATTATGATGGCTAAAGGGAGCTGTGGCCAGAAGATGCTACCAAGGTCGACAGGTACTCAGATATGAGAGGTGAACAATAATCCAATCACAAGAAGGCAACTTGAAGGAGCCTATTAGATGGAATCCAGTAACAAAGAGCAAGAAGCAGGATTGCTTCTTGATCCAGGCACTGCTTACAGCCTGGGTCTGGTAAGTAAACCATCTTGGGAAAAGTTCAAATGCCCATGAGGGAAGAAACTGCATGCAGCAGTGGCTGCCTGGTTGCTGACTGATGTTCAACGTAGCAGCCACTCCCCAGTGCCCACCTGTCCTAACTCTCCTTCTGCTGAGAGATGCTCAGTGAATTCGACACAAGAGAGAGCCTCCTCAGACCAGGGCACTCAGGAAAGCATAAGACAGAGAATCACTCAGAGGGCAGTGACTGAGTTAGGACTGGCAACATCTAACAACAAACAGGGACGAAGGGGATAGTCCTGGTTAGGGACCTAGAATCAGGCACTGAGGGATCTGTGAGACAGAATTCCAGGGTCTTGCAGTGGCAGTGACCGATGGGATAGCAGGAGAAAAGGCTCTGGAGCTATGGCAGTCTCTCCTGCTGCCCCCTAAACATCAGTGAGCTCAATGCCTCTGTGGGCTTCCTCCCACCCCTCCCACACACCCGCAAACACCTCTCAACCCTGTGCTCACTGAGCAACTGCCCAGAGCTCCCTCCCTGTGGCCAAACTGCGCCCATGTGAACTCATTCCTGCTGACCCCAGAAATCACTAAAATCCCAGGCCAGATCGAATGTTGGCAAGCAGGAATATTGCTTTGCCCAAGAGTAAAGAGGGCAGAGAAAAGCTGTCAGCAAGGTGTGCAGGAACACAGTTACTCCCACCTATTTCACCACAGGGGACCACAGAAGATGCTGACCAGAGAAAGACAGGGCAGAACTGGGACACACCTGCACATGGGAAGTTGAGGGAGGTGGACTAGGTGGAGCAAATGGAGCCTGCAACCAAATCGCAACTGGGGATCTGTGGTTACCACCTGTTGGCGACCCATCAACATTCCAAGGTCACCAGAGGCTCCCGAGCATGATGCCCTTTCCATGCTTTTTGCGTTTTTTTTCTGGTGTAAATTTTTGATTGGCAGGCTTTGTGTATATGTGTGCATAGCTATAGCTATGTGTGTAAGTGTTCGGCTGTTGCTTGTAAAACATTCCATGCAGCGAAATCACAGGTGCCCACTTCAAAGGTTGTGTTTAAGAATCATCTAACCTGGCTTGACTGGTAGTTCAACAGGTGGATCCAATCTCCCTATCGCTTCTCACCCCTTCCATATATAAGCTCATTTTTATCCTTCTTGTTTCTCCCTTTACACCTCCTCCTCTCAACTCCTCTTCTACGTATGCTTATATTTGTATTTATATTTTCCCTCTTCCTGTCTACCTATTCCTCTTTTATACATAAACTATTAGGGTTAATCTAAATACAGTGTACTATCTTAGCATCTCATATTAGATTTCCCTTCACCAATGATTGTTTTGTAGGGCTTCTCAAATTAGGGGTTCAGTTAGGTCATTAATTGGACTCAAATTCTCTGTATCTTGTTTCACTATCCACTTAAAAATCCCTCCTTTATTCTCTTCTTTTCCCCTTTCACAAGTATCCTCCCCTCTCCCTTCTTTTCTTGTATATAAAACTGCTATAAAAACTTAATTTTTTTCTTTTTGCTTATTTTTAGGGTTTATGTGAGGGGAATATGTTAACGAACAACTGTATGTGAGTGTTAACTATCTTTTCTGTTTCTATGTGTTTTACATTGACCTATCCAGTTCTCTTTTACTACAATCTGTTTCTTAGGTCTTCTAATATAGGGTTTATGCAAACTGATAAATACAATCGCTGTAAAGACGGTTATCTACCAAAAACAGTCTCTCTCGCTTTCCTTCATCTCCTCCACATATACCCCCAACCACCCGACTCTCCCCCCTTTCTAGGTATAAATATTGAAAATTACTTTCTCTCTTTCTTTTGTTTACTTTTGTATCTCTTTAGTCTTTTGGGGGTTTTTTGCATCATCTTCAATCTCCCAGCCTCTTCTCTATTACTAATCCTTTGTAGTCCTGGGTTACTGAAAGAGTGGAAAAACTTTCTAAACTAACTCTAAATTATATATTGATATATGATTGGCTCTTTGCATGTAGATATTGCCAGTAGTTATTCTCTTCTTGCAGTTCAGGGCCAGGAGTCTCTATGATAGCGGCAGAGCTTTCTAGCCCAACTGATCTAAAATATTCAACACAAAAACACAGAAATCATGAGAAAATAAGGCAATAAGATGCTTCAAGTAATTCACAACTCCCCAAAAGCTGATCTCATGGGCACTGAAGAGGAAGAAGTTTCAGGCAAAGAATTTAAAAATCAAATGGTTAAAATGTTTGAAGAGATAAAAGAATAAACAAATATATATATATACACATACATATATATATATGATGTTCAATGAGCTCCAAGAGGATTACATAAGCAGATAAATGATTTAATAAGATATTCAACAAGCTTAAAAAGGACACAAACAGCTGATTGAATTAAAGAAAACAAGGCAGGATATGAATGACCACTTTAGTAAAGAATTACAGATTATGAAAAAGAATCAAGCAGAACTCCTGGAAATAAAAATTCCAATTCAAAGCCATCCCCATAGCCATGACCAACCAGAAGAAAGAATATCAGGACTTGAGGACAAGAATGATGTAGTAGATCAATCACTCAGTGATACTATAAAAACAATAAGAATTCACCAGAAGTTGACTTAAGAGCTCCTAGATGACTTGAAAGGATTAACTTAAGAATTATAGGAGTCAAAAAATTAAGAAGTAGGGCCGGGGATTTAGCTCAGTGGTTCCGCCGCCTTCCTTGCAAGCTTAAGGACCTGAGCTTTTTTTTTTTTTCTTAAATTCTTTTATTGGTACATTTTAGGTATACAACACATTTACATTTCTCATTGGGACCTGGTACCTTTACATGATGTATCTTGATTCTTATTTTTTCCCTATTCCTAGCCTTTCCTTCACCCCTTCTACCCTTCCCTATTTACAAAGACTTTATTTCCATTTCTTCTAGTTCTCATCATTTTTCCTTTCCCTTCTTTCCTTTCCCCTGCCCCTCCCACTACCCCTACCCCTTTGGATCTTTTCTTCCTATTTT